TGACAGAGGAAACCAACGTTCCCCGCCTGCCTTGCAGTGCTCTGAGCCTGCAGTTTGAAACATTTTAACAAATATAGAAGCTAAACAAAAACCCCATGAACCCGCTTTAAGCCAGCCCGGATCTCAGAGCTGGAGTTGATACAGAGTTTCAATGATATAGAACAAGTCTGGGCGATACTAGGTTGACGCGTCCCAACCCCCTCATCAGCCCTGCTCTGTGTGTGACAGGGTGCGGCGCCACAACCCCCCCACGGGCCCTGCTCTGTGTGTGGCAGGGTAGAGTCATAACCTCCCCATCGGCCCTGCCCTTAGTGTGACAGTGGCAGTGCCCCAATCCCCTGATCGGCCCTGCTCTGTGGGTGATAGAGGGTGGTGCCCCAACCCCCAATCCGCCCTGCTCTGTGTGTGACAGGGGGCGGTGCCCCAACTTCCCTATCGGACCTACTCTGTGAGTGACCGGGGGGAGCTCCTCAACCCCCTGAACAGCCCTGCTCTGTGAATGACAGGGGGCAGCTCCCCAACCCCCGATCAACCCTGCTCTGTGCGTGACAGAGTATGGGGCCCCAGCCCCCCTGATGGGCCCTGCTCTGTGCGTGTCAGGGGAAGCGCCCCAACCCCGATTGGCCCTGCTCTGTGCGTGACATGGTACGGAGTCCCAACCCCCCTGAATGGCCCTGCTCTGTGCGTGACAGGGGGCAGTGCCCCAACCCCCCGATTGGCCCTGCCCTTTGCATGACATGGGGTGGCGCTGCAACCTCCCCATCGACCCTGCCTTGAGTGTGACAGGGGGCGGTGCCCCAAGCCCCCAATCGGCCCTACCCTGAGTGGGACTGTGGGTGGAATTGCAACCTCCCAATCCACCCTGCTCTGTGCATGAAAGGGGGCGGCGCCCCAACTCCCCAATCGGCCCTGCTCTGAGCCCGCCTAGGGGCTGCACCTAAGGATTGGGCCTTCCCTCTGCCACCCAGGAGCAGGCCTAAGCCAGTAGGTTTTTATCTCCCGAGGTGTCCCAGATTGCGAGAGGGCACAGGTCAGTCTGAGGGACCCTCATCCCCCCGTGAGTGAACAAATTTTTGTGCACCGGGCCTCTTGTCTATAATAATAAAAGCATAATATGCTAATTAGACCGGACGTCCTTCTGGGATGAAGCCAGGGCTGCATTTGTGGGATTGAGTCAGCCGCAGCTAAGAAGGCCTGCTCTTGCACAAATTTCATGCATAGGGCCTCTAGTTATAATGATAAAGCAGACACTACATCAAGAAAACAACACTTCCCAATATATATGCACCCAACCAGGGAGCATTGAAATATATGAAACAACTATTCACAGAACTAAAGGGAGAAACAGATCAAAAGACATAGTTGGGTCCTTTAATACTACATTGACAGCTCTAGAGAGATCAACCAAAGAGAAAATCAATAAAGAAATATTGGCGCTAAATGAAACACGAAACCAAATAGACATAATTGACATTTACAGAACCTTTTATCTCAGAACATGAGATTATATATTCTTCTCCAGTGCACATGGAACATTCTCTAGGATAGACCAAATGTTGATTGGGTCACAAAACTAGCATCCACAAATTCAAGAAGGTTGAAGTTATACCAGGTTCATTCTCCAACCATGATGTCTTGAAATTAGAAATCAACTGCAAAAAGGAAGTAAAGAAACCCAAAAATACATGGAGACTAAAGAATATGCTCACAAAAAAATGACTGGGTCAAAGAAGAAAGAAAAGATGAAATCAAAACATATATAGAGACAAATGAGAATGACAATACAACAGATCAAAACTTCTGGAATACTGTGAAAGCAGTAATAAGAGAAGTTTATCTCATTACAGGCCTATCTAAAAAAAAAAAAAAAAAAAAAACAGAAAGAAAAGAGAGCAATCCCATGTAAACAGCCTTACATCACATCTTAAAAAACTAGAAGAGGAAGAACAAAAGCAGCCCAAAGTCAGCACAAGGAAATATAAATTACAGCAGAATTGAATGAAATGTAGAGAACAAAAGGATTACACACAAATTTTAATAAAACAAAGAATATTAGGAAAGGCTATATGCCACCAAATTCAAGAACCAAGAAGAAATGGGTAAGTTCCTAGAAATATATAACCTTTCTAGATTAACTCATGAAGAATTGGACATTGAAACAACCATCAAAAACCTTACGAAAAAACAAAAGTCCAGGGGCAGTGGCTTCACCAGTGAATTCTACCAAATGTTCAAGGGAGACATAAAACCTATCCTTCTCAAACTTTTCCAAAAAATTGAAGAGGGAATACTTCCTAACATGTTCCATGAGGCCAATATAACTCCAATACCAAAACCTGGCAAAGATAACACACACAAAAAGAAAACTACAGACCAATATCTCTGACAAATACAGATGCAAAAATCCTAAATAAAATACTAGCATATCGAAAGCAACAGTACAACCAAAAAATAATACATCATGATCAAGTGGTGTTCTTTCCAGTGGCACAAGGATGGTTCAACATCAATCAATCTAATCTAATATACACATTAACAAAAGAAAGGATAAAAATCATGTGGAAAAATGGAAAAATATCCCATGCTCATGGATTGGAAGAATCAACAGTTAAAATGGCCATATTACCCAAGCCAATATACATATTTAATGCAATCCCTATTAAAATCCCAATGTCATTTTTAAAGAAACAGAACAAGAAATCATTAGATTTGTATGGAACTACAATAGACCCCAAATAGTCAAAGCAATCCTGAGAAAAAAAGAACAAAGCTGGAGGTATCATGCTGACTTCAAATTATACTACAGAGCTAGCTATGAAAATGAAAACAGCATGGTATTGGCAGAGAAAAAGACACAAGATCAATGCAACAGAATAGATCCCTGCTATAAAACCACATGTATAAAGACAGATATTTTTGACAAAAGAAACAGAAACACACAGTGGTGTAAAGACGTTCTCTTCAATAAATGGTGCTGGGAAAACTGAAAAGCCACATGCAAACAAATGAAACTGGATTGCAGTTTGTGCCCATGTACAAAAGTTAATTCAAAATGGATCAAAGACCTATATATATATAAAACCCAAAGCAGTAACTAACATAGAAGAAAACAGGTTTCAAATTTATGGACCTTGGTTGTAGAGAACCTTTTATGAATTTTATTCCAAAGGCACAAAAAGTAAAGGCAAAAATAAATGAATGAGACTATATCAAACTAAAAAGCTTTTGCACCTCAGAAGAAACTGACTGCAAAACAAAAAGGCAGCTAACCAGATGGGAGATAATATTTGCAAACAGTCGCTCCAACAAACGTTTAATTTCCAAAATATATAAAGAACTCATAAAACTCACCAAACAAACAACCCAGTCAAAAAGTAGGCAGACGATCGAAAATACACCTCTCCCAAGAAGACATAGGAACAGCCAACAGATATATGAGAGGATGTTCAATCTCACTGGCAATTAGGGAAATGCAAATCAAAAATACAATGAGATACCACCTCTCACCTGTTAGAGTGGCCATTATCAACAAGACAAGCAATGACCAAGGGTTGGAGAGGTTGTAGAAAAATGGGAACCCTCATTCACTGCTGGTAGGAATGTAGACTGGTACAACCACTATGGAAAGCAGTCCAGCAACTCCTTAGAAAATTAAGAATAAAGCTACCAGAGGACTCAGTAATCCCTCTCCTGGGTATATACCCAAAAATCTTGAAATCATGTGTTCATGAAGATATATAAGCCCCTATTTTCATTGCAACATTACTCACAGTGGCCAAGACATGAAAACAACCAAAGTATCCTGTGATAGTGGACTGGATAAAGAAAATATGGTACATATACACAATGGAATACTATTCAGCCATAAGAAAGGATGGAACTTCAGAACATTATGATAAGAGAAATAAGTCAGTCAGAAAAAGCTAAGACTCATGTAAGTTCACTCATTTGTGGGAGATAAAACTGAAACTCATGAACACAAACAGCAGTGTGGTGATTGCCAGAGGGAAGGGGGTCCTATTATATGATAACAGGAGAAGATTTGACTTTGAGTAGTGGGCACACAGTATTTACAGATCTTATAACATAGAAACCCACACCTAAAACCTCTATGTTCATGATTACCAATGTCACCCCAATAAATTGAAATTTTTTAGAAGTTAATTTCTTTATATTAAAAAAGCAAACAAGCAACAACAAAAAAGATCTAATACTGCTATGTGCAGTGTCTGGGTTTCAGCACTTAGGAACTATTTTAAGCATTTGGAAATTTTGCATTATGAGGTCATTTTCACTGAAGCATTAATTTGTATGAATACTGTATAGCTATAAACTTAGATTAAATCTTGCTAGAAAGAGTTTAAGTTTGCATAGATGTTTATACTGGTGATTCTTGTGGCCCTCTCTTTAATCTTGATCCTTCATGAATCATAGAATCATATTTTCAACTGCTTACTGGAAAGTTAGTTATTTTCATGATCATAGTATCTCCCCTGCCAGGTAAATATGGAAAATGAGTTATTCTCAAAGAAAAACACACACACACATATTCCCTTTGATTAACATCACTGAAGCAAGAAATACTGTCAGCAATATATCCTCTATCTTCAAATTAGTAGAGGCTTCCCTTTTAATTTCACCCCTCCTCTTAATCTACACTAGGGCCTATCTGCTCACAGCATCTCCCAATACAAAGTTATATAATAGCATTTCAATATCTATTAAACTCACTTCTTGAAACATATCTCATTCAAAACTAAGTTATTACAGATCAATTTTATTGATTTGTAACATGAACTAAATTATTTATTTTCATTACATTTGTGACTAATATTGTATCATTTTTATTAAACACAATTAATATTTACCAATATCAATGAAACAAATTCTCCAACACTAAAGTAAAAGGGTTAGGGTAAGTTGTATTTAGAACAAAAGCACAAATTCTAGGCCTTAACATTAACAGGCTTTAGATATTTTCAGTATATATTGCTACTTACCTTATGGGCAGGGACCAGATTTACCAAAACTGTATCCAAAAGCTCCTGAGATACTGTATCACCTTCACAAATAATGGAACTCATGAGGTCTACCATGTGCATATGAACTTTCTGATTGTGGCCATTGCTGAAATTCAAAATAGATATTTATGGTGTAACTAAAATATTCATTATTTAATCATAACACTGTACTAATAAACATTACACTTTATAGAAAAGATACTAAAATATTAATTATATCAAATTCTATATATTCATTTAAAGCTTCCCTGGCTCCCAAATCTTATAATAGTATCCAAAATCTTTTTTTAAACTACATTTCCTGGATTACTTTTCCCTAATTTTAACAAGTCTCAAAATCAAAAGTAATTAACTCAAATGCAGCTTATATTTAACTTCAGAAAATCAAATTGTTTTGCTGAAATTCATTATAGTAATTTTAAAGAACACACAAATAGTTCAACTATTCACATGAATTAAGGAGTCAGTAACACATAAGTTAATAAAAAGATAAAAATATAATCCAAGAAATATTTTTATATTGGGTATAGATTGCCTTAATGCTACTCTTGTATTATTTTCTACATCACAAACTTGATTAAGTTATATTTGTTTTTTAAAACATCTATAGAAATGTTAATGAATTCTTAAATTACAACTCTTACTTAGCCTTCCAATATTTATAACAAACACAGTTTAAGCAGATTCATCTGTAAGTTAAAACCCTTCATATTTAAAAAAGTTATATTCCTAATAAAATAAACTTACTTTATAACTGAAAATAATGTTCTGTATAACTGTGTAAAAATTTCATTGCTATCTTCCAACTCAAAGCATATGTTATATGACTTGACCCAAGCAATGTTCTAAAATAAGAGGTAAAAAAGATGAAAGATAAACACTTTAATTAGTGCAAATATAAAAGCACAAATAATTTAAAATGCCATTTCAAGATATAATATATTGCTTACCTCAAGTAAATAAAAATACCTATTGAATTGTGGGCTCTTTGTATCCTCTAACCCCTTCAACTGCCTTGTTATAAACATAAATATATCCTTAAAAAAAACACAAAGTATTGTTTAGATTATAGAATGCTAAATTAAAATATCCAATGCTAAAGCTAATTCAGCACTGGTATCTATCCTAATAAATTATAAACAACCAAAAAAAATTGCATTAGGCTGAAATTTTTTAAAAGGACATCATCATATGAAAATACCAATTATCTTACTACCCTTCATATGAAAATAGAAAATCATTTACCATAATCTTAAAGTAGAGAAAAACTTCATCTTACAGCAAGTTAAAAAAATACACCTAAAAATTGAGTGAACTAAAATTTATTTTAACTTTATCAGAATAAAAGAGGTAGCAATGACTGGGAATTGATCAGCTTTGCTAGAACAGCACCTATGTATGGTAATTATATAGCAAGAACACAATTTAGGAGCCTTAAAATTCCAAAATGAAATCTCTACGTAAAAAGACAATAGATTACAGAAGCTTAGAAATTTTAAAAAGACCCTTAAGAAGTTAACTTTTAAGCTTCCTATCTAATTGTTATAATTATTTGTTTCTCCCCACCAGTTTTCAATCTATCTCTATTCCTTGCTTTCTATTTTTGGGTTCACTCCCCACCTCTGAGTGGAGGGGGGGCGAGGGGTGACGGGTGGGAGGAAATGAGTTCATGTGTCTCTCTCACGTGAATATCTCTCTCTCTTTATCTCTCTCCCTCCTTCCCTTTTTCCCTGGGCCCCCACCCCCTGCTAGCTCCCTTCCACTCTCTCTAAAAAGCAATGGAGAAAATATCCTCTGGTGAGGATTAACACCAACAAAAGAAGGAAAAAAAGTTTCCCTTAGAAGTAAAATGATAAACAAGCTTATTTTTAAAAGGGAAGAAATGAAATATGCTGATGACGAAGTATATTTTCAAGAAAAACACTATCAAAGTACATCCTTAAAAAATGGTTACTATGACAGTACTGTGCAAAATATGTCTATAAGAACTGTCATGTTGACTACCTGAAGATGGAAAGGCAACAGTCATTTATAATTTCTCCAACAATCAGTGACCTAAACGTGAAGTCAGGTGTAAAGGGTTTTCTCTATGACAACAATAAACTGACAGTGGAAAGGTGAGAATCAAAGTGTCACAATTTTCTATTATTATTACTATAGACAAAGAAAATTATAACTTTGATGCAAATAGAATGTCTTGGTTGTTACTCGATACTTAAAAACACCCTCAAAATGAATATTTTATAAGTACTACCCCAATAAAATGAAAAAAGTATTTATAATTAAGACCCAAAAAACAGACCACAAAAAATAAGATGCCCTTATTTTTTCAGCTATGAAGTAATCCAAAGACTCTAAACCAGGGATGGGCAAACTTTTTGACTCGAGGGCCACAATGGGTTCTTAAACTGGACCGGAGGGCCAGAACAAAAGCATGGATGGAGTGTTTGTGTGAACTAATATAAATTCAAAGTAAACATCATTACATAAAAGGGTCCAGTCTTTTTTTTTTTTTTTTAGTTTTATTCATTTCAAACGGGCCGGATCCAGCCCGCGCGGGCTGTAGTTTGCCCACAGCTGCTCTAAACTCAACTCTTCAATGTTATTCTCATATATTGTCCAGATATGTTGCTATTCTTTTGGGAGAACTTTTGATCACCCTGTAGCCTTGACATAGGTCAGATTATGAAAAATGAGAAATCCACAATAGAGGTAGAAAAAATCATGTAGCAGCACTAAGTTACACTTCCCTCTTCATGAGAATGCCAATAAGACACCTGGTGAGGAAGAGCCACAGTCAATCAAATACAATCACTCCTTAAAACAATTAAGCACTTCCAAATGAGACGTTCAAATTAGAAGTCAAGATATACACCTGGGTGTACAACTCCACAGACCAGCTCACATTAGTGAAGTCTCTGATCATTCTCAACTCTTTCAACGTTCAATTCCACTTTTAAGTAACAAATACTTGCTCCTACCACCGCCATCCTGAGATTCTTTCACCAATTAAAATGTAAAACAAGTAAATCCATCTAGTTTAGGCATTCCATACTGAAATTTGGCAGACATGATCAAATAAGCAGGTTCTTCACTCCAATTATCAAGAAGCAACTGCATAAATTCAAGAATCAAGTCTTGGTTGTTTTTCACCACAGTAAAACCCAGTTCCTGACACATAATTAAGATCAATATTTGTTAAATAAAATAAACCTAAATTGACTGCTATTTTTTCACACTGGGTATTAATAATCATCCCATGGATTCATTCTCTAACCAATTTGTCATAATTATCTTTTACTGTGTCTTTTGCTGTCAATTTTTTCTAATTTTCTCCCTAACCTACTTTATTCATTTTTCTTACTGTATGCTATTTCTACAGCTAGATTAATCGCGCTATTCTACTTTTCTCATCTTTAAAGATTTACCATGCATAAGGCTTTATTTACAACTACTATAACTAGGTCTTTTTTTATTTCATTAAAATTTTGTTCGTATTATTTTCTTCAACACAATTCACATCACACCTCACATCTTACATTAAATGGATTAAGATTCATTCATATATATATATACATATATATATACATATACATATACATATACATATACATATACATATATATATATACATATACATATACACATATATATCATGTTTTTATTGATTTTTAGAAGAGAGGAAGGGAGAGGGAGGGAGGGAGAGAAGCATCTATTTGAGGGAGGAACCCTGTGCACAATCGCACAGCCCTGCCCACCCACATGTGCTTTACTGCACCGGCCGCCAGCCTTGCTGCGATAAGAGCCTGTGGGCTGCGGGGGAGGGACCAAGAGGTGCTCCATGCACTTCATGGTGACCGGTTGTTTGGTCGTTACAGCCACGGGCTTTTTATAATATAGATTTAGGTTTTTACTGGATACTGTCTTTTAAATAACAAACATGGTCTTTAACATGGATCTTCAAAAGAGAAAATAATTGTCCCCCAAGTAATATGGAAATAAAGCTAATGATGACATAAAAAGTATAGAATAAACACCAGAAACTGTTTTCTAAAAGCAAGTACTTAACGGGGATAGCATTATGGGGAGGAAATAAGTTCTAAAGAAAACAGAGCCGAAACCGGTTTGGCTCAGTGGATGGAGCATCGGCCTGTGGACTGAAGGGTCCCAGGTTCGATTCCGGTCAAGGGCATGTACCTGGGTTGCGGGCACATCCCCAGTGGATGTGCAGGAGGTGGCTGGTCGATGTTTCTCTCTCATTGATGTTTCTAACTCTCTATCTCTCTCCCTTCCTCTCTGTAGAGAATCAATAAAATATATTAAAAAGAAAACAGAAGTTTAACAAAAGATTTCAGCAGCTAATGTCTAATGTCTAAGAAGCCTAAGAAATTACCTAAACACTCTAACTCCCATTTTAGTTAGAAAGATAATAGAAGTATCAGTCAATCTAGGCAGTTCTTTAAATCAGTACTTGCCTTTAGTTTATCAGGGGATGTGTAAGGAGCTTCAGGAGCATAAATCCTGAAAATATCAGCCAGGCAGCAGGCTACTAGTAGGCGAACATCTTTATCAGGATGCTTGAGAAAAAAGTCTGAAGCCAGATGTAAAGCCAGGTTTAAATAAAGCTCCTTTTCTTCTTCAGAGTCCTGGTCCATATCCATGAAAGTTTTCACAACCATCTATACAAAAACACATTAATCAAATAATGAAATCCTTCATGTACAAATAAAGTTGAAATAAAAGCCGTATTAATTGCAAAGGTTAAACTTCCAATAAATATACTTTTATTTTTCCCCTGGAAGTGTCTACCTGAGAGAACAAGATCCTTATAAAGCTATAGGGTAAATAACTTTTCTTTAAAAGACTAAGTAAAATACTTTTAATTTACGCATACCTGCTAACCAGATTTTAAAAATTTAAAGCTACCCTTACACAGTGCTTCTGATCTCACTGATACAACTGGAATAAAAGGAGTATGTCTCTTCTCAAAAACAGCATCCTCTTAAAATAATATATCTAATCCTTTTAAGAGAAAAGTATACCTCTAAAGAAAAACCTAGAATGACAATTTACTTTTCCATCTAAGCCATAAACCACTCCAGATACATGGATTAATATATTCAGCTAAAAAAGAATATGTAAACAGATTCAAGAAAGGATGGCAAAAATGCATCCCCAAATGTGAAAAAGCTATCCTGAGAGACTACTATAGCATCCAACAAAATATTTCTTGTGCAACAGTAAAAGATAATATGATATGTATAGTTCATTAGTAGGACTCAATAGCATGTATAGAATGAACCTACCAGAAATGGTTCCTTTTTCAAAAACGTTTACATAAAAGAAGTAGGATAAACTTAAGAATGGGGAGAAACAGCACAGTTTGAATTCTGTGAAGAGCTTTCTCTAATTTCCGTACTAGTAGTTATGATGAACCCTCAGTCTACACTATTACCACTTCAAATAAAACAAACTTGCCTAACTTGACATAGCACAGGAAAGGAGACCATCTGGCATCCACTAGGTGGTGCTGCAAATACTAATCAACAACCAAGGCTAGCCACCAAGTATCAATGTCTAGGAATTGGTCTTGGAGACATACTGCAAGAATTTCCACTCTGCTGTAAAGCTAGACTTCTGAGTAATAAATGTCCAATGTCTTACTGAATTCTCAGAGCAGCCGTGCGAAACTGTTCCTCACAGAGTAGACCCTCAGTTCTATTATGTCAGATGCCAGAATCAACAGTAGAGTAATTCTTCCAGATGAGCACTACAGTTTCAGGGTATAATGTCCAGATTACTCTCCTAACTTTTTAATTTTATTACTTTCAAGATATATGCCTTGATGGCCTAGTGTATTATGAAAAGGGACAAAGAAAAAAAGACCTATATGGAGAGAACTATTTCTTTCTCTAGTGACATCTTACATATTAACAAATTGTTATAATTTATAAAACTTACAGCTGTACTTGGACATGTCAAAAATTATTATCATCCCACACCAAATCCTGTTTATATTTCTCTAAGAAGTTTGCTAAAATAATGTTAAGTGTAAATTAGGAAAATTAAAGAAGATAAATTATATTAATCAGAATACAGTTGGGCATAAATGTCTACAAAAATAATGAAAGCATACTACAAATACTAAATGTAAGCACTATACAAAATATTCTAAGGCTAACAAGTAAGTTTACTTAAGAGCTAGATAAGGGGGAATTCCTCACTACTGTCTACAACTTAAATAGTGTTACAAACTTAACAATAACTCATATGAGTCCTCTGAATTAAAAAAGATGTTTGAGAAAATAATATTTCTAAAAGTCGCTAAACACTAATCAGCTTATAAGTGTAGTCTCTGTGTTTAACATAAGTTTCTTAGGAAACAATAGGGTTGTTTACCTATCATTGCTGAAATACAAACAAATATGAGGAAATGAATGTATATGTTTCCCTAAAAATTCTGTAGTCAAGAGAACATAGATACACAGAAAACAAAACAAAAGAAAACCCGATTCAGAATTGTAGCTTTACCATTTTTAATAAGATATATACTGGTTCCTAACTAGATAAAATATCCACAAATTGGGAAATTGAATCTGCTCAAAGATGTGTTTGCTTTTGAATAACAAGCATCTGATCTTTGACATCCTAAAATTTTAAGCATAAAGTCTATAAGACTAAGACTTTACCATGAAATTTAGAGTAGTATTTGTATCAGGGTCCTTTTCTTATAATAAAAACAAACCACGCATCAATAGCTATAAGACAGTGCTTTGCTTTAAAATTCCTGGGCCTTCATTGATTAATTATGGCAAGGTTTTTTATCTTGAAATAAGTAAATAATGACCTATCAAGTAAAATAAATGACTCAGTTGATTCAACCAAGAGGGGGGAAAAACACTCAAAATTTTAAAAAATCTGAACTGGTAAATCAATTTAACATTCTCCTTGGCCACTCTCTTCCTTTAACCATTTTAACAATCAAGAGACCATCACTGACATGAAGGAAAAGGAGAAATATTATTCAAACACATATGAAGAGACTCCAGCCATAGAATGACGGCCTCAGCTATAGAAGTTCACCATCAGTGTTGATTCATTCACACAGGTCAAAGCAGAGAGAAAAGATACAGTAAAGCTCTTTAACCCACCCTTACATAACTTACGAAAAAGTAAAATATAGCCTGAGTATTCAGAACAAAAATGTGAAACTTCCTTTCTCATATGTGAAAACTTTCTATAGACAAAAATGAATATGAATATTGTGGATTTGTTCTTTATGCTCAACTATAGTAGGCCCAAGAAAATCTGAGCCTCACCTTTCTAATTGCTCTCCCATTAACAATAGCTAAGAAACACTACAGTTCTTTACTACCGCCACTCTCTGAGATCCTTTCCCTCCCATTCCCTGCTTTGATTTGCTTTTTAAAGTTACCCTAACAAGATACAGCACTAATCAAGCCCCACACCCTTAAAGGGATTTCGGGGGAAAAAAACAAAAAACGAACCAAAACCAGTTTACTCACCTTTAACCGTCTCACCATCTCCTCTTTAGATATTTTATCTGAGATTTCCTTGACACCAGGAGGATAAGTAATTTTTCCATCATTGGTCCTTGTCTTTGAATGAGCCATGATGGAAATATTTTTACCCCTAAAACAAGAAAGTGATTAGTTGCAAACCAAAAAGTTAAAAAATATTCACAATAAACATGAGAAGTAACATTCCTAATTTATAGTAATTCACCTACCTAATTAATGAAAAGCATTTTATTGAACATTTCCCAAAATTTTTTTTCATTTTCATTAGTGGCAAGCGAGTTTATTTACACTAACCCTCCAACTACAAAAACTAAAAATGACAAAAAATGTGCAAATTAGGTATATTTTTAAAGTGCCATAAATTTATCTGTTCAAAATCTAAGACAATATAGAAACCCAGGGAAGTAAATGGAGCACTGGAGCATTACACTATATTCACTTATGCCCATTGGACACTTGCCAACCCTGAAAAATCTAGAGTTCCGTTTTGGTGTTCTTATGGGGCAAGGAGAGCAGGAAAATCTAAATCTGTTGAGGTAGAATGTCAAATAAGAGATCTCCTGACATTAATGTGGAATACTACGCCATCCCCCAAAAGATAACATCTGCAAAAAAACACAAAAAAAGAATAGATCACAAGTAAAATGTGCCCTTGCCCCCATCACCACCCACAGGCGACAGCAAGGAAGGCTGCCTTGGTACTAAATAAAAAACTAATACAAGGGAGCAAGAGCTCATTAGTGTTGACCATGGGTCTTGCACATTTACTGAGGTTCACATTACCTAAGTAGTCCAAAGAACCTCAACAAATGAACTCAGTGACCCCCTTATTGGTTGTACCCCCAGCACCTAATATAAATAATTCCAAGGCCCTGCCAGCATCGCTCCGTGGTTAAGCACTGACATATGAACCAGAAGGTCATGGTTCGATTCCTGGTCAGGGCACATGCCCAGGTTGCTGGCTCAGTGCCTAGTCTGGGGTGTGCAGGAGGCAGCCCATCAAAGATTCTTTCTCATCATTGATGTCTCTGCCTCTCTCTCCCTCTCCCTTCTTCTCTGAAACTAATAAAAATGTATTTAAAATAATTCCAATTCCTGCCTAGAGGAGAGCATGTTCATTCTATGCCTTAATGACATTTTTAGGACAGTGAACATTACCAAGTCAAAAATAACTAAGTGCCTAAGGAAACAAGGCAATATGAGCAACAACCAGCCGAAATATCAGATGTCAAGAACAGACCCACAAACAATTCGGATATTATAATTATCAAACAGGTTACAAAAGTACTATCTTTATAATTTTAAAGAAATAAAAGACAACTCTGAAATCTCTATAAGGAATAAAAATTATAAAAAGTAAATTAAAATATTTGAACAAATAATAGAACTTCTAAAAATGGAAAAGTAAAGAACTGAAATTAAAAATTCAATGGATAAGTTTATCTACACTAATAAAAGAGAAACATGGTAATTGGCGTACGACCGCTACCCTTCCCATTGGCTAATCAGCGAGATATGCAAATTAACTGACAGCCAAGATGGCCACCGGCAGCCAGGCAGTTTAAACTGAACATGAGGCTTGCTTGCCTCAGTGATGGAGGAAACCAACGTTCCCCGACTGCAGTTAAGAAACTATGTAACAAATACCACAGGACTTCAGCCAGCAGGATCGCAACATTGTATGCAAAGGCCAGAAACCTACCTTCAGCAGCGGAGGCCTAAGAGCTGGAGCCAAGCCTCAAGCTAAAGCTGGCCCAGAATATAAAAAAAAAAAAAGGAAAAAAGGAGCGGTTGGGAGCTTCAGTCACCCCAGCCTGAAACCAGCCCTCAGCCCCTCACCCAGACTGGCCAGGCACCCCAGTGGGGACCCCTACCCT